GATTTAATGATTTGTTCATGACAAGAGAGAGAGAGAGAGAGAGAGAGAGAGAGATTTAAGGGTCAAGTACACCTTAAATGACTTCACCTTGTCGCTGTCCGCTTTTTTACGTCCATACAGACTACAAAACCTCTCCATTAATTCTTTTCTGAAGTTACACGCAGCCGACCCTGTAACTTAACTCCACTGCAGCAAAAGTAACTCGTCTTCGTAAGTCCGTTTTCGCGTGCAGCGAGGTCAAGTTAATGGCCGGAGTCAACCAAGTGACAGAAGTGAAAAATAAATAATTATTCTAGCGCCGGCAATAAAACACCATCCTCTTTCCTTAAAAACGCACATATTGTAATCAATACGTTAAGATCCAACTCGATTAAGTAGCTCGAAGCGCACTTAAACAATAACCAATAACGGACACAGGGCAGATGGACCTCCATTTTTTAAAAAGACCATGTCATGACCACAAAGCCAAGATGTTTAGCAGACGACACCTAAATACGTGATGCAGGCGATCTTAATCCATCATGGAGACTGCGTTCACATTGTGTTCAGATTGACCGACGATCAATCAAAGCAATGCGTGATTCATTTTCACAATATTCGTGGAACTCGGCTGTCGGCAATCTGATGTTGTTGTCGAAAAGACACAAATAATAAGTTCGCTTTTATTTCATTTTTTAAATTTCATTTCATTTTATTTATTTTATTTCAATTTATTTTTTAATCTATCTTATTTTATTTTATTTTATTCCTTTCCTGTCATTTAATTTAATTTAATTTTATTTCTTATTAAAGAAAAAATTAGCCTGGACTGCACGGGAAATGCTGTTACGAACACCAGGGTTGTCAATATTCCCATTTCTGACAAGTTTCTGATTTTAATGATATTTAAAACCACATGCACATACATGTACAAACATAGAAAAACAGACTGCACACAGTATAATACTTTGGTTAAATTTTTGGCCTGTTACGAAAAAAGGGACATCGGAGGTTTCAGATTGAAACCGTTAAAATGCCTGGTTAATATTTAATCTACATTGCCGATCAATGCATATCCTTATACTTTGGAAGAATTAAATGAGAGAGAGAGAGTGTGTGAGAGAGAGAGAGAGATACTCTATCATTCCACCTGCAGAGAGCACACATAAACCAACTGCTAAACACGTGAGATTGCGTTAGATGAGCCGGTAAGCCTGCACAATGTGTCCCTTAGTAGAGAGAAGAGAAGGACTGAAGACGGAAAACTGAAGTTCACGTAACATTTACAAACTTCATTTCAAGTGAATATAAACTAATTGCGTAATTAAATGGATAATCAGGTAAGTCTTTGTCCCTCTGACCAAGCCTCTGATTGCAGACTCCATTTGTTAACCGCACGTGTGGGGAAACACAACGCGCGCGGCGGCGTCGGTTTTCTCAACTCATTTCTGCCGAGTAAAACACGCCCTAATCCGTCATCCCGACGACAGCGAACGCCAATTAAACATCGCTTATATGAAAAACTAACAAATTCATAGACATTAGCAGTGGATGGAAAAGCAGGGGCTCTCTTTTCACGCGGCTTTACTACGCAATTTGATCGTCTCAAACCCCTCTTGGATCTTCTTTGATAGGCTCTGCGGGACACCTGTTTCAGGCAGATAACTCCTTGATTTGGTTAGTTACAGGCGTTTAAAGAAAGGATACATATTCATCAAGACATCAAGAAAACATAATAGCGTCCCAAACTCCGATTTATCTCAATTCATGGAACTTGGGATGAATTGTATCTTTAGTCATATCGTTGCGATAAAACGACGCGGTGTTTATGCCGTGCACTCCCCCCCACCTGACTTTCCCGAGTCTTTGTCCGCCTTTTCATCCTTCCTCCTAGGTCACAGGGATCAAATTGAATTATAAAAATGTCAGGTTTCGGATAATTTACCGCTGAAAAATTTCCCTTATAATGAGTGCCTTTTATCCGTCCCTATTTGTTTAAACGTAAGTTACTGCTAATTCGCCAGGCGTTTCCCTGAAAATCTGAGGATAAAACACAAAGAATACCTGCAATTCTTGCACCTGACATTAGTTATTATTCCCAGTTTCACCTGCTAAATTTGATTTCTGGCTCATTACGGTAACAACACGTAATATAAGAGAGCTTGGTGCGGATCACTTAGAGGTATATTTGAAGTTCCCACACTAACGCACTCCAGGCGCGTATCGCGCATGCGTTTCTGGTTGTTGCCAGGTAACCGATCGTAACACCTGGAATGGCTTCTTTTGTACCCTTAAGACTTCTTTGTAAAAATCAGTAAGATATGTGTCCAGTTTAAGAAATCTTGTGTATCCATATGTATAGGTTTAGGTTACGTCCAGAATTTATACATGACAATATTTGCTATTAGTATAAGATGCATATGACTGGAAAGAAAGGCTAGGGAAAATAAAGTTGAAGATCATTTAGGGCTGATTATGGAAACAGTTTCATGAATTTGAAACGTTTTAACTATTATATTGTCCATTGTTGACTCACTTCAAAAGGAAGAAGAAAAGAATGATATTCAATATCATAAACACTGGGTCAAAATGACAAGAGTATGTGGGATGATGAAAGAACTCGAGTCATTATGAGATTAAATGTGAACTCCAAAATCGATTAAACTTCAGGATCGAGGAAAAATGCAAAGAATGGTAATTGCTATATGATGATACGGGGTCCTCTTTTAAAGAGAGAAATTACCCGGACTTAGGGTCACGGTGTTGAGTTCGATGAAAAAAACTCGGCCATTAAAACTTGTGTTGATCTGGCATTTTCATCAATAAAGGTGTAACACGAGAAAAGCTGATTAGCAAGGGCCTCTCAAAAATCACCTCGCTTTGATTTCAGAAAGGTAGTTTATTCTCTTCTGTACCATGTTACATTCATTTGTCTTTCCGCCCTATTGCTCTAGAATTGTATGTATGAATCGGCAACTGAATATTGGCATTGTTGTCAATCTATGGATACAAGTAAAAATCACTGATTTCCTACGTCAAAAATGATAAATTTGCAGCAATAGTTTTAGATTGTTTTGAAACTTTTTTTTCTACTTCCAATTTCGGATCGGACACAAGGGAAAGCACAGCAGGTGCGTAGTCCACCCTTCGGAGATATCCCATTCACCCCCCCCCCCCAAAAAAAAGGTAAAACAATAAAGCAAGTGAAATGAGACAAAATCATGTATTTTTGTCACCACTGTGCTCTACATATCATTATTAATCTGTCCCCATTACCATCCATTGCTTTATGTATTCCGATCGAGGCAATCTTTTAAGCTTTTTTTTTTGTGCTCCATCCCCCCCCTCCCTAGCAAAATTTTGGATGCATTAGTTACTTCATAAATGTGCGCCACCATTATTGACAAAATCAAATAGTTTCCAATAACAGAAAAAAACTTGCAGCGAATGTCATAACTATCGTTTATTTTTATTTACTACAGTGTAACTAGACCGTCTCAGCGACGTAATTGTCGTTTTCCCCATTTTCTTTGTCACTTTCCTCGTTATGTTAAAACAACAGCGATGATGAAATAATGAATGGGCTGCACGACACGCGAAACGCGTTCTTGAAAATAAAAGATAATCATTAAAAAAATCGTCGACTATATATACTACAGCGAATCATGATCAAAATGTTGCAAAGACAAATGGATGAGATAACTTCAACGTTTACTTCCAATAAAAAGAATTACTTTCGATAATTTTGCTAAAAGAACACGAGTGGTATTCCCATATTGGGTAGAGGTAGCGAATATAGGCCTACATGTATGCTTAACTATGCCAGCTACAATGAGCGTTCTCCGCGCCACCTTTCGGCGTTACCTTGTCCTATCCCATTTAACACTCACACTTATATGCACAGCCATATTTTCATATCAAAAAGCTTCGATTTCTTCATTCAGACCTTGAATATTACAAATCCTCTACTCTTTTAACTGAGTCAAGCTCTGTGAAGGCAGCAAGAGAATCCTCCCCTCACCCACCGACGTTTATTTAATTTTCTTTCCTTCGCGCCTGCATTTATTTATGGCCATCTTATGGCATCACTGACATCTACTATCAAGTCAGGCTAACCTTTTTTTTTTTTTTTAGATTTCTTCTCAATATTCTAAATGACTGAGGACTGCTTGTGTTACAGCATTTATCGATAGTTTTAAGAATCACTAATTGTTATTATTGTCTTTATGCATGGTTAGCGGAGATTTATCATATGAATATACTTTGTAAACTACAGTGTACATGGTAAGATATGTAAAACGTGTGTTTTACACATTGAACACGTTAAGTGGTCGTGGAAAAAAACTCCACGGTGTATATACCTGCCTAACGTTCATTTCCTTACGTGCGAAATGTTAGGCCTATATACTATCGCAATTGCGGTAGTTGGTCTAAGGAAGAAACTGTTCTCAACAGAAACAATACAATACCTGTGAAGCAGATATAGGACAGTGAATCATTTCAGATACTAGGATTCCCTACATTTGTATTACGGAGGGTAGAGGAAGGGGTTGGGTGGTTAGTGGGGCTTAAACCCTCTTTTTCACCCATGTCAGTCCTATGCCTTGTTAGCAGGTGGCTAATTATTTCGTTTACTTCTTTAAGTCAGATGTACCCGGTATACTTAATTATTACTTAATAAGATATTGCGTCAAACTAAAAAAAAATGTTTTTTTTATGTATGGTTGTCAACTCGTCTAAAAAATGCGATTCTTGCGCGTCTATATTGGTCCCATTATTCAAGAGTTCTTATATATTTACCAGTTCATGAACATATTAAAAATGTTACTAAGACTTCTATAGAGTCTTAACTAAATATGTAAACGATATACACGCATGTAATGCAAAATGAATATAAGACTGGGTTCCCATACCAAGATCGCACTGACTGTGGATCGATCTATCTCCAAGAGGTTAACCCTCTAGCAGCTTCAGTAGGTGACGGACATTTAAGTTAATTGCAATTTAACGAAAATCCCCTTTGGAGATAGATCGATCCACAGTTAGTACGATAAGGTCTGGAAATGGTCCCTAATGACCAAATTGTCTTACACGAAATGCCCTGTTCGTCTGACGCTTGGCGTTTTCAAATCCTCTATATTGCCATTAATGTGTCAACCAGCTTCTTGCTGGCCACCAGCAGTTAATTTCGTCCTTATTTTTTCGCCCTGAGCGACCCCGGCAGTGGCACCGTCGGCGTCGGGGTCAACATCAGGGCCATTTCCGGTCAGCACAGATGGCTCTTGTCCGACCAGGTCATTCTGTCTTAAGAGTTCCTGTCCTTCGGGCCAGACCAATGGACAGTAGAAACGGACCTCGTAGTCGTCGCAAGTCTTATTAATGGTCAGCAGGTTGTGGTCATCTATGCAGAGTAGCCCCTGGGAGCTGCAGGGGATGGCGAAGTACTGACCGGTCTCCGTGGAGTCCATGTAGTCCACTCGTCTACGACACTCGGCGGCGATTGGAGGTTTGTTTGGCGCGCAGGGACTCTGGAGGGAAGGAAGAGGATAAAAAAGTATAAAATGAGAGCTGAAAACCGAGAAGATTGAAATATAAGGATGGAGAAAAATGGAAAGAAAACTGACAAATGACGATCATTGGTGCACAATCTCTCTCTCTCTCTCTCTTTCCGTTCCCCCTCTCTCTCTCTCTCTCTCTCTCTCTCTCTCTCTCACACACACGCAGAATATTTCAAATGCCCCTTTTACTTACCGGTTTAGTTTCAAGTCTGTCATATAATTCATTGTCCTCGCCGCCGACCTCATCTCCCTCGTCCATGTTCATCCAGGCTGACCAAGCTTTAAAATAACATGCCATATATGATTATCATTCACAGATTCATATTTATCCGTCAGTACTTCTCAAAATACAAATATTAATAAAATGGCATCCGCTGTATGTGATTCTTTTGTGTATATATATATATAAAAATAATAATAAACAAAAAAAAAAAAAAAAAAAAAAAAAAGATTTTGACAGCAAACAAATGCTTATAAAATGACATTTTCAAGTTAAAACTACAGGATTCTTTTGTATTAAAATATATATATATTTATATTTTTTGACAGCAAACTAACCTCAGAGAATCCTACAAATTCATGCACACATAATTATGTATTCCTGTACTTCACACTTGTTTCTACGAGTAACCGTCTGTTGTCATTTACACATGTTCACTATTTGCGAATGATTGCGTTCAGTTAAGGATATTTAAGAGATATTTAATGCCATGTTTCAATGGAGCAGAGAAGGTTACAGTAGTGATCGAAAACTTTGTTAATATAGAAACTAAAAAATAAAAATAATAATAAAGAGATTACAAAACAATATTAAAACATCACACTCACCGTGACGCTCACATGGGTCGGGCCTGCGCCTCGTCGATCGTTTTCTCCTCATCGCACACGGGGCCTCGTCGTGTAACGTCCCCAGTTTTAGAAATTCCGAGCGCACTCGGGTCCCAGGCGGACAGGGCATTTTATAGATGAAGAAGAGTTTATCGGCGGGGTTAACGACACAGCGGTAGTAGATACAATGGTCGTAGAAGTCGGCGATGTAGTCCCCGTTGTCTTCGCACAGCATGACTTTTGGAAATGTTTGGAAATAAATATGGAAATGTTTAGAGAACTGGAATTGTGATAGGTACGAAAGAAAATGCAACGTTTTTAATTAGAACGTTATCGATTTCCCAGAGCATCTACAAATTCATGTATGCTAAAATTTAAACTTTAGAAATTAAAATTCTAGAATGTAGTATAACCTGCAACATTCAAATGACCGAAGAACGGGAATTAAGAGATAGTCAGTGATTTTTATGGATACAGGTTTGCTTATCGTGATGATTAAAACACAGTACAAACTGTAATATTGGAATAACTTAAGAAAGGGAATTACGAATTTGATAAGTGAAATGTCAGTGAAATTGTATCTGTCAAAATTTACGGGTATGATTGCCGTGGCTTTTATTATACTGATAAGGAAAAAAAACAGTTTTACCTGAAATTAAAATAATTTAAATGCAAATCAAGATGACGAATAAAACCAAATGCTGTTGACATCGCCGTTCTTAAAATCTTTAGATATGGCGATAGCGGAGATGAAAAATCGTTGAAATACCGAAAATATTAAAAAAAATTAAGTCTAGGAATTTAACATAGATGAGTTTGAGTTAAAAACGCAGCGCCGCTGACAGCATCGTTTTCAAAACCTATAAATCTGCGATATTTCCCTTTATTTGAATGCCCTAGAAGGAATTTTGTTGGTAATGAGTTGTTGCCATCACCTAAGTAGCCAGTTTTTTTTCAAAAGTCATCAAAACCTAGAGATTAATGCACCTTGTTGTTAAAGGAATGAAAAAAAATTCGTCGTACATTATCCCCTACTGCGGCTGACAGCGGTGTATAATAAGGCGTTGTCCATGTCAGGAGTTTTTTTGCGATGCAATTATGATAAGAAAGTAGTTCATTTAAAGGTAACAATCGGCTATCTGTAACATCGAAATGAGCATAATTTAACATACATGTACCATCAATGCATTTATTATTCTAGACATTTTCTAATCTAATAGCTTTCTATTTTAAAGGACATAATTAATTTATATATATCGTATGGCTATTTCTTTGGTGCCTTTTCGTGTTTAGACTTTTTTTGCCAACTACCACTGGTTAGATTTCACTGCGATCATAAGGCGTCTACCAAGCATACAGCAGCGGTTTAAGTCGCCAAGGAGAAGGTTTTACGAAGTTCTTAATTAAGTTAAAAGATATTGAAATTGAACGTTTGCTTTAAGACCGGATATGGGAGTCTCTTGGAACCTTAAGTAAATCCATTGTAGTCCTTAATTGAAATAATTTATCAAGGAGGTTATACAAATACTGCCGTACATTTCTACTACTAGCAAAGCTACCTTATTACTACAGTTACAACAACAACAACAATAACACCACCACCACCATCGAAAACAACAACAACAACAACAACAAGAACAACAAAACAATCATCACTTCCAGTACTAGTGCCTACTACTGCTACATGTACTACTATTTATTGCTATTATTATAATTATTAAAAGATAAAACTTGGACTTTTGGGTAAGTTGTTGATTTATAAACAGGACATAATAAAATAACCAAGTAAATGAGTGGTAAAGATAGGCAAGAAGATACTGTAGATAGATAGATAGATAGATAGATAGATAGATAGATAGATAGATAGATAGATACATAGACGAACGGATGGGTTGGTAAATAAAAAAAATAAATAAATAAATAAACTCGGCTTATGCGATTCTGTCAGTGAAAACAACTGGTGAGGCACTGAGGACTTGCGACATCGAGCAAAATAGTAATTTAATATTAAAGGGATAATAACTCTTCGTATGAGACCTATATTTCACAATGAAAAACATTGTGAATAACTCATAGAAATATAATATATTCTGTTTTACTACAAAAACGGCAGTTATAGCTATTATTCTGATACATGTATCTGAGCTTGTCTTTAGATCACGTGACCTCCATTGATAGCTATACTCTGTTAAAATCTCTTAAGAGATTTTAACAAAAAACCAAACTTTTTAGAAAAAAAAAAAAAAAAAAAAAAAAAAACAGGGACTAACTTTGAATGTAAAAATGGATTCATTAACCACTGGAAAATGTATGGAAAAAGTGTTGTTTACTCCAGGAAAGTTCATTTTTTGGCCGAAACGAAGAGTTATTATCCCTTTAATATCAGCATGATAATTATATTGGAAGGATCAGAATATGTTTGTATAGCACTACGTAGATTAGACGTCTGTCTCCTTTCGCTTGTAAGATGGAAAGGGGGGTTATTGTCGACAAATATAGGCACGTAGAAGTGAAATATCATCTTTGTTAGTCAATTTTACTGCCTACTCAGTTAATTGACAGGATCTTTATTCTTTCCTCATTTTCAAACATGTACGTGTATACATGTATAAGCTAATGGCTAAGATTATTACTGTCTCTTTGCAATTTAGTATTCTAAGTCTCTTCCAAGATGTTTATGTGGTACATGTAGATATGTTATAATAACTATGAACTTGTCAGACCTTAGAAAGGGTCTATTTGCCCATTTAGTACAATTAAGTGGCATATGTACTTGTTAATGTGACTGCATGCTTCACGGGGTTAGATATAAACCTATCGCACATAATAGGAGAGGGGGGCTACCATACATGTATGGCAGACGGTGCTTTTAATTTTATTCGTTATTAAGTTTTTTTTTGTAAAATTATTTCTCCTCCGCTTTTATTTACATCTATGATGAAATATCTGTGTCAATTTCAAAGAAGAAACATTACGCAAGAAGGGTGGATCCTAGACAACGTGAATGGTATGCTAATTGACTAACTTGTAGTGAAAGTAGTCTAAGAATAAAAATGTCTGCTACATTACCTTGAGCTAGTGCAATCCCTGAAAGTCCTAGAAGAGAAAGGCAGATGATTGTCAGCCATTGTTGAAGTGTTGTCCCTTGCTTGTCTCCCAGTGTCTGCTTCATGCCCCAAAGAGTCAACATGGCTTTCTTAACCCCAACAAAATGGCGGTGTCACGTTTGCTCGAAAATCATTCAAAATTATGCAGTGATGTCCACAATTTGAATGGATTAACGACAGCAAGTATAGACATTTAGAATTCCATTCAAATAAAATCGTCAACTGTCTATGTTTTTGCTCAAATCGATTGTCGTCTGTTTTGAACGCGTGTCGTCTGCAGCGTAACTCAAAGGCGTCTGCTGAACTGAATATGTGTCCTCAGATACATATACCTGTAAGCGTTCACCTGTAAGGATACATTTGCTTCGGTACAGAGTAGACCACCGGTATGCAATGATAGTAAATTCCAACCGTTTTCAATTAGGAAATAATGCAAATTATTGCCCCGTCTTTCTTGAAATATTGACCAACATAAAATAATATGATGAAATAATTCATACTTTGAAAACTTTTTTTGTAATATTTAATAGAAACAACACAAAGACGTATGGCCGTTAAATTCACATTAAGGACTGAATAATTTATTGTTTGACTAACTGTGTCTAACGCACGGTTTTAATACTTTTTCATTAAGTGCCATTAATATCAACTGACTCGCTCCTTTCTCGACACTTTAGAATAATAAAGTACATTAATGACTTAAAAACCGCATCAAGTTGAAATGAAGGGTCGTGAACATCTTGGAAGGTAAACTAAATCACAGTTCCTGGTGCGTTAATTGCGGTGCTTGCATTTTTGAATTATTTCTATATTAATGGCACATAAATACTTATATTCAGAACAAGCCTCATCTAAAAGACCACATGCCTTCGTGTTAAAGTCTCCGCATTTTAAATTTCATACTTTTTGGTTTTTCTAGATAAGCATGTATTTATGTACCTTCTGATTTTTGCACTTAACGAAAGATACACGGTATTAACATGTAAATTATGTAAAATCGCGAGATTCTGAGATGTTGTAAAAAGTTATATAATGGAAGCTGTGAAAAATAAAATTGGGTGTTCATCTTTTTTTTATTAGATTCCTTTTACGAATACCCATCGCATACTTTAAAAACCACTGTCATACGTAAAAATAGTGAGTGGTGAAGCACAGAGAGATATAAAAGAACCATTTCAACTTGCGTAGCATATCAGTCGGTAAAACGTGTGAGAGAATATATGCGTGCACGTGTGTGTTAAGTGTGTGTGCGTGTGTGTGTGTGTGTGTATGTGCGCATGGGGAAATACATGTACGAGTGCATGTGTTTACCTGCATGTTTGTGCGTGTGCGGGCACAA